TCTTAGAATGTGTTAAAAATCAAATATTTTGAATAATAATGATTTTTTGTTTTTTTGATTTTCTAACAATTTTTCAATTCATGTAATTAGGAGATAAATTTGAAGATTTCAGGAGATTTTATTCAAAAAAGAAAAGAATATACCATGAATATACCAAATATAAAATCTTTGAATTTAAGATCCAAATAATTGTATAGTCTAAATATGTTAGACAGTGGTCTAAGTCTATTATTTTCAATTACACTATCCTACTTAAATCAAATATTATAGGGCTGTTATTTAATTTTCACTTTTCAACTTGAATTAATGTTGCTATGCTCCAATTTGCATTTAAAAAATTTCTGAAATATTTAAAGATGATTTGTAAGAATATTGCGCGTTCCTCTGAGTATTTCTGGTTATATGAACTCCGATATTTAATTTCGAATACCTATACTCTAAGTAGAAAATCTTTAATATGAATTTATCCAATCTATAAAATTCAAAAAATATTTTGGTCTTGTTATTTAATTTAATTAAACATAACAAAAAATTTATTTAACATTTTATCCTTTTTTTATGATTGCTGCGTGCGTTGTTTTGTAATTTTCTTCTTTTCTCTTCTTATATTTTTTGTTATACTCTTGCCATTTTTTCCATCTTTTAGTTACTTATGTGTTTTCTTTTTAACTTATGTGTTCATTCTGAAGCTTCCAGATTTACAAAAAAAAAAAAAAAATTAAAAAAAAAAAACAAGAAAACAAGAAAATTTTTTTTTTTTGTTTTTCGTCTTTTGCAGTTTTTCTTCTTTTGTTTATTTTTCTTGCATTCAATATTTTGCTTATTTATAATATTTGTTTGCTTGTTAAATTGTTACCATTTTTTAATTCTCTTATTACCGTTGTAGCTCTTTATATATTTATATACTCATTATAATATAGTATTATGTATGTACATACATATACGCTGATTGTCCACTTCAATTCCATGTACATACATGCGTTTATACATTAAAAGATATACACTTGTGTATATATACTGTTTATACTGTTATACTTGTGTATGCATACTGTTATACACAAGAGACTTTTGTTTTTTTTTTTAATAAATGTTTTATCTGAGTTCTTTAATCTTGAATGAATTTGCCACCATGAAGCGTTTTTATTAAAAGAGTTGAACTGTTAATAAATTAAAATAAAAAAAATAATAATATATAATTATATTTGTATATATGTATTTGTGTATAAGTAAGTGTTTAAAAATTTGAATATTAAATTTATGCAAAGAAAACTTTTTTAAATAAATGCACCTACTAATAAGACAACGGGCGGGAGAACTGTAAAGCAATTAAACTGTATGTAAATTAAAAATATTTTTTGGAACATTTTAATTTACGAGACATATGTGCCGTACTCCAAGAAATCGGCTATAATAATTCAAAAATTTGAAATTCATTCTAAAAAGGTAGAATTTTTGTTATCAACTTACATATCTGCATGTACTTACATATCCGTTTTCGCGATAAATAACCCGAATACTCGTAAAACGCATGCGAAGATTACCTGTTTAGTTTCAATGTAGTAATTCCACCTCAATTACACGGTTTATGTCACATTCTATTAGTCTGTAATACTCGTTAGAACTCTCATCAAATTCTTCTCAAACAATTTTCTCAAATTATTTCTATTTGCCTTTCAGCAGAAAATATTTCATCTACCGAGTCCTTGGAAGATTACCCCAGTATTCCACATCTGCCCCTTCCGTATTCTTCGTATATTATGATTGCACCTTATGATTCCCAATATATGAAAATTTAAGCATTTTCTAAATGATTTTCCCTAAGTTTCCATTAATAACACAAAGTACTATTTAAGTCGATTATTGTCTGCCTGCAAATTTATTACCTACAAAACAAAAACTATTAAGCACAATATTATAATAAAACGGAAGGCCTCCTGTACAATTTTTACATTCTCCAGTATTTTGTTTTCAATTACAAAACATTCATTTAATATATAAATTTTGCAATAATATAAAACATTAATAAATTAGAATAAAATAGCCATAAAGTATAGGAAAGACACCTGGTGATAACTTGGTATTTTTTTTTTTCGTATAATTATCATACAAATTAAAAAATAATTAAAAACTTCCAAATAAAATTAATTTTAATTTAAAGTCAATAATTAAGTAATTTATTTATGCATTTAAAAAACAAACATTTACGTAAGTTGAAGAATTTTTTTTTTTTCGAAATTTCTTTTTTGTCGACTCCATCGCATACAATAAGGGAGGTTATGTGATCATACCGAATTTCACATATGGAGTTTTCGGTAGAAACGCAGTAGGGAACGCAATAATCCTCCCTAGTAAAGAAATAAAAACAAATTCTTTTAGAGTGATGTAGATCTGTGTGCGCACACGTGTATCTCAAATTCGGGTGAACTTTAATTTTTTTGAAATTTCATATATTCTGTTTATTTTGGATGTGCCATGGATAAATCAATTTTTGGGATATATTAGGCCTCGGGATATTGGGCCGATATATTTTTGTGCATATAAAGGGAAATAATCAACCAATTTTCTTGAAATTTAGCATATAAATTCAGGGCATTTCTTTTTTCTAAAAAGGGAACCAGGACCCTTTCACCTCGCTCCATAGGATATTTTGCGATTCGCGATCCAGCTACATGAGCACTATTCCTAGATCCCTGGCGAATCTCAGAATTACGTCCGGAGTACTTGAGCTTTAACCCCTTACATCCTCTCCCTAACATAGCTCACTGTCCGTCTTACCTGTTCTCTCCAGTTGAATCATGACGAGACAATGTCCAGTGAGGATACTACCCACCAGCTTCAAGTCTAGACGACTTATTTAGCCTTAATTCAGGTTATTACAAAAATGAACATATAAATTTTTTGGGAATATCAGGAATTGAGCTGTGAGCCGATTTTATATTTTGTATCGTATCTATGGAATTTGATTGTTACCGGAAATAACTGACGAACTTTTCGGGAAATTCGCATGGTATGTTAACCTAGTATGCATTTTTCTAGGTATGTTAACCAGAATCTTTAAAATTTAAAAGGCTCAAAATATTGAGCCTTTTAAATTGTTGAGCTGTTTTATAATCTTCTGCAATATTTACGTTAAACAACACAATACACCATGCGATCGATTATGTGCTGACCACATCAGATTTCTTTTTTGTTTATGGCTTAAAAGGGGAAAAAATAAAAATATTTTTTCCTTAATTTGGAGTAATGAACTTTTTCCTTATTATTTAATTAATTAAACATTTTCATAATGCGTATTTTAAATGATTTTAAATTTCATAAATTGTAATTCAATAAATTAAACTGAGAAAAAAAATTTAACTAATTTGAATTACTTCACTTTTGTATAGTAAATAGTTTCTCATTCGTACATTTACGTACCTTGTGTACAAAGTACAAAAAATCATTTGCACAGTTTTTCCGCTTTTGTGGTATCCCGCTGACAGGAAAAAATCATATTCTTAAAAATATTGAACTAAAATTTTTAGAATTATGAAAATTTTAAATTGAAAATTAATTATCCGAAATTGTGGAAATCATAAAAAATGAAAAATAAATTAAAATATTTTTTTTCGGTATTTTAAATATTGTTTCCGCTATATTTCATATAATGAGTTCAATTTTACTCAAAAATTTTTTAAGTAAAAATATTGGCTAACTATTTTAATTGAACCAAACTCGAAATTATTATTTCACGTCAGAAAATCGTTTGTTATTATAGGTAACACTTAATTAATAACCGAATCCGGATGTGTTTAATTTATTAATTTGCAATTGTAACCAAAACATATCTCGTAATTATATGGGAACACTATTTTATCCCAAATAATTTAGTTTAGAGTAGCGGCTCTATTTAAAATTTGAAGAAAATGCGAGATTGTGAATAGGGAAAGATAAGGCCAGTCTATAAATAATATTTTATATAAAATATTTTATTTTTGTTTGGAAAATCGAAAAAATCTCTAAAATATTTTAAGAAATTGGGAATTATTTCCAAAAGTGCTCAACCAAACAAAAGTTTCTTGAATATTTAACAGATTGATCTTAAAAGTAATGTTCAAATTGAGTATGTGATCGAGTCTGTTTGGCTGTCATGCAATATTATTGTATAGTGCCTATACTGGAATAATCTTCAAATCAGAAACATTTCATTAGATATTTTATATTTTATTTCCTATGGTCCTCCTCGAATTCTCTATTCTTAAAAAAAAGAACTTTATTTTTATTTAAGAAACTAACAAAAATTTTAAACAACCTGCTAATCTTCTTAAATTTAAATTCCGATGCGTTTGTTATGACTTTTTGTTAATTGAAATTGGCTTTTTAAAATCGCTTGAATAATGCATTTTAGTTTTTAAGAGAGCAAAATAGTTGTGATGCCACATTAAAGATTATTAAAAATTTTTAAAAAAGTATTTGGTACAATTGAATTTAAAATGGATAATCGCTTCGCGCATATTTTTGTTATTATAGAATAAAAATAGAAAGTAAAAAATAATTTTTTTTTTTTCGTTTAAAAAATTTAATCTATACAAGAAATGAAAATATTTTTTTTCTAAATTGATGATAACTGAAATTCTTTAATTTTAATTTTATATTCTTCAATAAAGAGAAAGATCAAAAAATATTTGAAATATTTGTGTGTATTTTTAGTGGTTAGGACAACTTCGTTTAAAAGAATTTTTTATGGTTTTAAAAAGTTTTGAATTAAATGTAGAGTCATTCAATTTTAGAGATAATATATTATTAGAATATATTATATAATCTAGGACGTAGTGATATAAAATTTTGATAAATTTAAAAATATATTTTGTTCTTTTCAAATATCCACGCACAATTTGTTTATGAAAGTTTTGTATGTTTCGCTGCTCTTTAAAATTTTTCCATTTTAATAGTTTTCAATTTTCTCTTTTAAATTAGAATGAAAAATATTAATAATAGAATTTCTCTTTTTGCAGGTGAATATGTGGTTTAAACGTAGTACACTACAATATAATGTAATACTATTTAGTTCCTCAGAATGTGTTCGATATTTGGCAATAAATTAGATCGACAATTTCGTTTAAATTCATTAAAAATGACAACAATGACTGACGATACGGCAGATAAAAATAATAATAATAATAATAGTTCAACAGATGAGGAGAAAAATCTTAATTATAAGCTACTTGGTGGTAAAAATGAAAATAATGAAAATAATATACCAATTCCGGATGATGAAAATTCTCATGGTGATTTAATATTAGATTTATCAAGAAAAGATAGAATACCACCAGTTGGGCATGTAACATTAGAAGCCTTACAAAATACCAAAGTTGCTGTTGCTCAATTTGCTTCTGCAAACATAGGAAATCAAAAAAACTATGAAGATGCAATTCAAGATTTAGCAGCAGTTCATTCCACATTATTTAATTTACAACATCAACAATTAATGCAAATTCAATTAATACATCAATTACAATCGCAACTTCATAAAAATGGAACAAATAATAGTAATGGTGATGGTGAATCATTGGTTCTAAATAGGTTTTCAAATGAAAATAAATCTGATGATGAAGATGATGATGAAGAGGAAAATTTTGATCAACAAATTAGTGATAAAAATATTAGAGATTCAGATTTATCTGATATGATTTCTTTAGGTGATAATAATTTAAATAAAGTTCGTTTAAAGAATGAACTCCTGGAAAACCATAAAGATCCTATTGATTTAAATGATACCAAAGATAAGAAGTCTGAACTTAATTTATCACAGCATAATAAATCCTCTTTAAATGAATCAATTAATTCTGAGTTAAATGATAAAAATGATTCGGATAATAAATCAAATATAGATGATAAGTTAAATGCTGATTCAGTTTTTCAAGCACCCCTTTGTCATATCAGTTCCTCTTTAGCTTCTAGTATAATAACAAATCATGATCCGCCACCACCGCCCGATGAACCAAATTCTCTGGAAATGTTACAAAAGCGAACACAAGAAGTATTGGACTCTGCTTCTCAAAGTCTTTTAGCTAGTAATTTAGCAGAAGAACTTGCATTTAGACGTGATTCAATGTCACAAGATGGTAGTAAAGATGGAATCTTTAAACATCGTTGTCGATATTGTGGTAAAATATTTGGTTCGGATTCAGCTCTGCAAATACATATACGATCTCATACTGGCGAACGACCATTTGTGTGCAATGTTTGTGGTAGTAAATTTACTACAAAAGGAAATTTAAAAGTTCATTACCAAAGACATACTCAACGGTTTCCCGATTTTCCTATAATTCCAAACGGCAAAATGAATTCTAATGAACAACAATATAATACAAGTCCCGGTCCATCGTGCAATGAAAATATTCAATCATCTAATTCAATTCCACCGCCACCGCCATTACCACCTCCACCACCAATGATTACGAATAGACCTCCTAATCCATTAAATGGTCATATTGGTTTAGCATTAGCTCCATTTGTTCCAATTCCCGGATTCCCGTATTCTCCGAAATTAACTAGTGAGCAAGTACGACCAGTATTAAATGGTACTGATATCGATAAAGAACAAGAAGAGCCAGCTGATTTGAGTAAACCTAATAAAAAGCAATTTCGGCCAACTGACAATTTTTTTGAGCCACCCAAAAAAGAAATAAGAATATGTTCGGAGATTATAAAAAATCCAAAAACTTTAGAGGAAAACAATATTTCAGATACAAAAACAAGTGATATGGAACATGATGATAAAATGGAGGAATTGTTAAAATCATCATCAAGACGTTCTTCAGTAAGTCGAAATACTACAACTCCCGAATTTTTGCAAGATAGAATTCCAAATTTATTAGAAGGAACTGATAGTTCGTGGGAAGATTTAATTGAAATTGATAAAACCTCTGAAACTTCAAAATTACAGCAATTGGTCGATAATATTGAAAATAAATTAACAGATCCTAATCAATGTATATTTTGTCAGAAAATAATGTCTTGTCGTAGTTCTTTACAAATGCATTTACGAACACATACCGGTGAACGTCCTTATCGATGTCGAATTTGTGGTCGTGCCTTTGCAACTAAAGGTAACTTAAAAGCACATATGACAATTCATAAAATTAAACCTCCGATTCGGAGTCAATTTAAATGTCCAGTTTGTCATCAAAAATTTTCAAATTCAATTGTATTACAACAACATATACGAATACATACAACAGATATTACAGGAAATACTAGTAATTATGATCGTTTTGAAATTGATGTTGCAAGACAATTAAGTGAAGGACGTAGTAGTTCGGTTCCAACATCTGAATATTCAATGGGTCAGAGATCAACTGGTTCATCTAGTCAAGAAGGTGATTTCGATGATTTTACATTAGATAGCGAGAATGATGATCAATTGACACAAGCAAGTAGTGAAGAAAATAAGACTGATTTGAGTAGAAAAATGTTGATGAAAAAAATGGAAAATTATGATAATGAACGAATAATACATAATGAAATTGAAACAATATCAAATGAGGCACTAGATTTAACACCAAAAAAATGTGATAAAAAAATTGAACAAATTTCAGTAACAAGTATGCAACATTTAGAAATGTTATCAAAACTTACAGAAATAAGAAATAAATTGAATAATGAAGAAAGTTTACATAATTTGGAAGTATTTAATAAAAGATTATCGGAAAATGGTAGAAAATCTTCAGAAAATAGAATTGAATTTGATAGAGATGCCACAGGTAAGCCATTTTTTTTTTCCCTTATTAATGTATTACAATTTCAAATTAATTTTTTTTGCAAGTGGTCATGCTTAATACAAATTGTCCGCCGAAATAAAATTGGGTATATGTTATAGCCAAAATGTAAATACATTTGAAGTGAAAAGAGAAGTGAATAAGAGCTTTCAAATTAGTTGTTATGTACATATAGTATGTACTTAATCTTGAATGTGTACGAATTCCGTAGGGAAATAAATTTACTCAGAAATTCGATTTAAAGCAAAAAAATTTTGTAATCTTAATAAAAGACTGGGGCAAAACGAATAACACAAAGGTAATGAATGGCTTTGTAAAATGATCAAATATTTTAAAGTTTTTACATAACTTAGACAAGTGTTCGTGCACTTATGTATTTCCTGTTCATTATCAATTTAAAATTAAAAAATTTTCGACATATTCAATTGACTGTTACTAATTTTGGTGAAATTTTCTCAATAATGCCGATAATTTTAGTTTTTTTTTTTTAGCAATAAAAAAAACACATTAGATAATTACTAAAAAAATTTTTTACACACATAAAATTCTATTTAACATTTACATTATTATTATAAGAAAAAAAAAAAAAAAAAAAAAAAATACATTTTGTTCCGAAGTTTCCATTCCGCATCGACAACGGATGCAATAAAAATAATTTAATTTACTTTCCCTTTTAAATTAAATTTACAAAAAAAAAAAAAAAAAATTAAATAAATTAAGATAAAATTTTTTTTTTTTTTTTTTTTGTGAAATTTAATTTCAAAAATTCTCATTACTTTTGCAATTCATTCCCGATCTCTAACTAAATTTATACTCTATAAATACTTAATAAGTATGTGTGTGTGAAATAATTTCATATTATGTTTGTATATTTATATTTATGCCAGGGTATTGTATATTGTATATCGATACATTGTATATTGATTGACAGCCAATTCATTTAATTTTTATTTTTATTGTATTAAATTTCATTTAAAATACCCACGCATTTATGCCAACAAAATTTCAAAAAAAAAAAGTGTAATAATAAGAGAGAAATTTCAAATTTCTAATTAGTATAACAAAAGTTAGTCGAAAAAAAAATTTATGTAAATTTTAATAAAAATGTTGGGCAATCGAATAGATCAGAAATTTTGTTGTTCCTTCTATAATATTTCTATAATATTAAAGCCTAAAATCTTTGAAAATTCATATTACACTTATGTCAGTATTTCAGAGTTTACGTAGTTGCTCAATTCATGAACTTGAAACTGGTCTTATAGTAACTGAATACATTAAAAGCTCTGCTAGGAAGGCGTCGATAGTTACTGTTAGGAAGGATTTGATGTTTTCCATGCACTTTTCTCTGTATTGTAAAATATCAAATGATTTCGATTTTATAGTAGTATCGCTAAAAAATTTTTGAATTCTTGTGTATATTAATTTCATACTAAAGACCCTTTGATTATCATATCTACTCTTTTCAAATGATATAATTTTTTTTTCTCATAAACATAGTATCGCTTACTGAATACTGTATACTAAATAATGTTAATTAAAATTTACGGATTAGAGGGTAATCACTAACTGTGCCATCTAAGTAAATCGTTTTATATCAAAATCAGTTCTATTATTCCCGCAACCTTCAAAAATTTATAACATAGACCCTTCCGAGTATCCAATTCCGCAGTATATTGCTTTCAAAAGTGTTACCATTTTATTAACAATAAAATGTGTTGAGAATATTATCAATTTTTCGATTGTCGTAATCTGGCGAACATGATGATAGCCCACAAGTATGCAAATAAATAAATTGTATTATTTTTTATTATTTTCTATAATTATATAGTTAGCAATCATTATTATTTTTTCGATAATAAAGAACGCAAATTGTAATTTTTTTTTTAATATTTATTTATGTACGTACAACAATAATTACAACATTCCATTTAGACAATAAAATAAAAGTTTTAAAATAATAATGGAAAAAATAAAATAACAAAGCGAATTGAAATACTTTCGAAAATAAATTTCTCTAATTTGTTTTAAATATTTTACCAATTACCATTTTAAATCTATAATATAGATTTGAAAAAAAAACAAGAGCAAATATTCCCGACTCTTTGTACCTTGTAAAAATCAGGTATTTTTTTTTCTTAACTCTTAAATATTCATAACAAGTTATTTGAAATGCTTAAAAACCATTAACAACTATACAAAAAGATCAATTGATATCTCATTTCCCCCCCCCCCCCTGCAACATACACATACACATTTATTTTATTTATACTAGATTAGTTATTTTATAATATTTTATTTGAATATCTATGAATGTAACATAATAATTTCTTTCAATAAAAATTTAAAATATAAAAATTAAAATCTAAAATATAAAAGAAAACAAAAAAAACCAGGACGTTATCGCGATTTATGTTTAGTTTATGTTATTAGATTAATTTATGTGCGACAAAAATATTCTTAAAATGGGATCGATCCATGGCAACGATAACAGATTGAAATAATGTAAGAAAATAAAGAGAACAAAAATAATAACAAAATTTTCTTTTTTATGCTTCCATTTTAATACTGCGAACTTTGAATGAATATTTTATCCTATTATATCTTTTAATACAAAGGATGATTCAAAAATTTTAGTGAAAATTCATTTGATAATCGAAAATAATTTGATGTTTTCTTTAAAATTCACATATGACATGACTGATCTTAAAAAAATTGATTCTGTTGCTGAATACTGAATTGTTACTATAACTACTGCAATTACTGTTAGTACTGGATAGAAAACCAATTCATATCCAAGTGCCGAATTTCCCGCTTAATTCTTTATATTGTCGAATTCTGTTTTCAATACTGCATCATTTTCTGAAAATATCTTCATACAAATAAAAGATAATTTTTTCATACCTCTATATTTTAATCCATAATTTTAATAATGGATCATTTCTTCATTCTTCTGTGACTCAGTTTATTAGAATGTCTTAGAAAATGAAAGGCTGCTGTTAGAGTTTTCTCGAAGGTACAAAATTTTTCTTTCTTTATAATCTTTTCTACTCGAGTGTCATCTATTTTACATTTTGTGAGACTAGTTTTCTTTATTTATTTCAATAAATATTATTTTTATTTTATTCTAGATATAAACTTTAAGGGGAACATAAATGGCAGATCCTGTCCCCCAACCTGCCTAACCCTTTCAGATGGACTATCGATCATTTTATTGATTGATTTTATTATGGTCTTGCAATATTTCATTTAATAACTTCTGACTATTGCAGATTTAAACTTTAAGGGGGACATATTTCATGTTGCAATTCGAAAAGTATTAGGAATTACTACTGTTATATTGCGCAGTTTCAAAAGAGTTTTTATGGCATATAAGTACTATTCCTATTCCTATCGGTATTTATTATACAGTTTATTCGAAATTCAATTTTTTTGCGAAAAATAATTCATGTCGCGGCTCGTATAAAATTTCCAAAAACCTATTGATCAGATTGGGCTTTTTTATACGTATAACTACTTAAATAGGAACATATTTTAGAGACTTTTCTATAAATATATGAAGATTCCTTTCAATATTATAAACACAATAATTTTTTATTTGATATTTTATTATTTTTTTTGTATATAATATATTTTAAGTATCTATTTAATATAAAAATTTGAAATCATTTTTTGTTTTTTTTGCTCTTGGGAAGACAGATAAGAATTGCAAATGCAACTGTGCAACTCTATTATGATATCAAAACATCTCCTCAGTTTTGTATTATTATAGATTTTATAAATTGAAAAACGTGTTCTTTAGTGCTATTTGAATATTGAAACAATTGTTAATCAATAAGAAAAATAAACAAATAATACAATGCCTATATAATGAAAATATACACAATGTTTAAGAAGACGCGCGCCCAATATTCAAATGATGCGGTGAGAATGCGGTGTAAAAAAAAAAGTATAAAAATAAAAATATATTATGGTATATTTTAAGAATAATAATATAACAATAACAAGAACGGGAAAAAGTATATTGGAATTTATTTTAAAAAAAAAAAGGAAATTCTTTTTAATCGTATTATTTTAGAGCAGGGGCTATGAAAACATAATAAAAAATTTGCAATTAATTTTTCAAATAAAAAAAAAACTCATCGAATCATTTGATATTTTTTAAAGCCATTCGATTTTATTTTGGTTTTAATATAGTGGCATTAAAAACCATTAGCTCTACTAATTATTTGAATCCGAACTGCAAATAGGTTTTTATAAATTTATTATTCCTTAGCAGTTCTAAGAGCTCTATGTTCTGTTGATTATTTAAATTCGAAATTCAGCGGTTGCTATAAATTTGTTATCCTTCGCATTCACAAACTGTATCCGGAAAATTCTCACAAATGTGGGATTATTATTAACATTCATAGACAGTAGACATATCAACCCCTAAAATAGTTTTTTAAAGTTTACCGCCAGATGTCACTATTGTAAAATTTTGCCAATGAACATGTTTTAAAAAATATTTTTAAATGTAACCATTTCTGGTTTAAATTTTTATTTTTTAAAAAAATTCATTGTTTAAATTTTATATTTAGTCGAATATTTTTAATTAAATTTCATTTGGATCATAGGTTAATTTTAAATATTTCTTTTTTTTTTAATAAAACTAAAGAAATATAACAATACAATGTGAGAGAGAATAAATGTGTAAAATAAGAAAAGTCAAACCAAAAATAATTTCATTTCAGCGGTTTTTTTTAAAAAGAAAAAAAAAATTTGACTGACTCTTTTAAAGAATATTTTTGACACTTCCTTTTATTTGGTGCCATATGAAATTTCTTCTTATTTTTTTATATATTTGCTCTTTCTTGTTAAAAATGAAACTACAAAGCATATTAAATTTAAAAAACTGTTAGCGCTTATCTTATGATCTTCAGAGATATGCTGTCAAATTAAAGAATCTCGTTCTCTTATAATACATAAAATGCTCTCTTTTGAAGCAATTAACACAGCGATAGGCGCATTTTTTTTTTAAATTAAAAACAAAAACATTGAGAATATTTAAGTTATATCGGAACGGCGGTATAGTATTGATATTTTGTTTATTAATAGAGCGATTTCGAACAACAAATATATCATTGTTGTATACGAGTGACCATGACATCCATGGTATTTGTTGTTCATATGGTTGAATGCAAAAAATTTGATTATTGCTTTACATCGATAACTGAAATTCTATTACTAGAATCAAGTATAATTATTACGACAGCTTAATTACATTTCACTTCAATGTTATATACTAGTGATAATGAATTTTCATTAACACGAATTAATTTAAAAATTAGATTTTATGCAAATTTTTATTTTAATATTTTCTGTTTTATTAGGTATTCCCAATTCATTATCAACAAAAGCTGCTGAAATTGATGTTCAAAATGATGAAATTGAATGTTTAGAAAAACCAACAATTTCAGTTGTAGAAGAAACACCTTCCTTAAAGGTAAGCTATTTTTGTTTTTATAAATATTATTTCGTAAATAGTAATATATAACTAGATTAGATTTTCAAGGGACCCGAGTGGGGCAAGAGAAACCCCGCGAGCCACCACAGCCATTTCTGACTTATTGTAGCCTTCCCACGCTCCCACCTATAATATCCCCGTCCCAACTATAAAGCCGGAGATATCCCCAAGGGAATTGGACAGAAGTTCTCGAACACTTAGGAACTCTTGTCCGACGCCGGACAGCCAGTGCCGGACAGTGGCAAAGGATGTGCACGGTGGTCTCGTCATCGCCCCTACAGTGAATCCGCTTGAGCACGCCGAAAGAAACGCCATTCCGCCGCACAGTGACCGCATGCGGCAGATCCCGTCCTCCACCCTGTCTATCCAATTCAGACCATCAATCATTTCATCTATTGATTTTATTATGGTCTTGAATTATTTCATTTAATAACTCCTGACTATTGCAACATTATCGTTAATTTTTAATATTTTGCAATTTAACTTCAAATTATAAAATTTCTACTTTTCCAATATTTATTTTTTTGCTTAATAATTTTTATTACCTATTTTTAAAATAATTTTTAATGATTTCTTATTTGTATGATATTTTTTATATTTTTTATGATTATAATAGCTTTTGTAACCACAATTATTATTGTTATTATTATTATTTTAACTGTTATTGATTTTAATACTAACAATATTGCTAAATCTTATTAGTTGAATTGTCATTTATCCATTTCTTGTTGGGTACAAAAAAAAATATAGCTAGGTATATGAAGAAAAATTTATTAATAATGAAAACTAAATAATTTATGTGATAGCATTGCCATCTCATAAATGGTATTTTCAATCAGAGTTGACAAACCTTTTCTTGCAATTTTTTTTTTTAAAATATGTGATTAATAAAGAAATTTATGCCTCAAATACTTGATTTTTCTCACAAAATATTATTTTTCCCTTTGTCATTCTCGCACTGAATTTCAAATGAATTGTTCTTATTTTTTTTGCACCGTTATTCGAATACCATTTCGAGCACATTTTTATTAATTATATAAGTAATTAAAGTATAATAAACATTATAACTACGAATTAATACAAAATTAAAATTCCAGGATTTGATTATCGCTTTTGTTATACGAAACTTTGTACATTGCGTTTTTATCTTCCGATTCGGCACGTTTTAAATTGGTATCGCTACGTAGCTCGGTCAAATTATTTTTTCTTTTTGCCAATTTTAAAAATTCATTTATTTCTATTCTTAGCTCTATAGAATGATTTTTTAAGTATTTTCGTAAAGCATAAATTTAGATCAACTTCCCTTAATAAAATTACTTAACTTTGTTAAACTGTTATACAATTTAATAAAAATATTTTCAAATTCTGATTTTCATCTCTATACATGTATGCTATCAATTATATTAATCTCATTTTTATTGGATATTCTCTTTATATTCAATAATTAAATATTGCATGACTGAAACATATTGTTGCTGACTGACTATATGTCAAAGAATTTCTCTCATGGTATTTTCATAATATTATTATACATAGATAATTATATACAATAATAATAATAATATCATATGACATTAAATTTCAAAAGAGTACTTATACTTTATAACTATTATAACATCTATATAATAAAATATATAAATTTTAGTTTCTTCAGAAGTTGAATCATAAATATATATATATATATATATATATTTAATATAATAAAATCGTAATATAAAAATAATGTGAAGAAAAGCGAAAAAATTATATAAATAAATAAAAATTAATAATAACAATAAATAATTTGATATCATTTTATGTTAAACTTTTATTTTTCTTTCTCTATCTATCTTTAACTACCTATCACTACTATTATTATTATTATGGTTATTATATTATTCGCTTCCTTCAAAATAATCTAATGTAATATATATACGAAATACTTACTACTTGTCACAATAAAAATAAAGAAAAAAAAAACAAGAAAAGGATTTATGATGTAAAGAAATGATTATAGATAGTTGAATGTATAATTTATTAGAGTATTACAAATTTCATTTGCCATAGGTAATGCTCAAAAAGAAAGAATATCAAATTTGTCATTTCATTGACACATGAAAGTGCTTTCATTTTGAGGTTATAATATGCAATGCAAAATAAGTTAATAATACCTTGGCTTTCAGCTCTTAATCACATTTTCAATATCTTTCCTGAGTCGTATTTCTCTTGGAAGGGAATTATACAAGCATCAAAATAGAAAAATATGAACAAGTTCTTAAAGGAAAATTAAAGCATTTTTTAAACTATTATACTTATTGTGATATTGTACTCTTACAGAATCACTCTGTATAACATTGCAAATTACAACTCTCTACTTAGAAGTAGTTTTTAATAGAAAAATAATTGTGTGAAAATTTTGAAATTCCGAAACTGTTATACATACTATATTGTACTGATCTACATAGAAAAGTTATACGATTTAATATAACACATTTGGAATAATAACTATACGTTTGCAAAAGAATTTCCCACTGGTTTCAATCATTTTCGGTTTTCTTATCTATTATTACGATAATATTGAAAGTAAATTAAAATTACTTTAAATCCAAATATGACATTTAGCAAGGATTTAAATATGAAATAAAATTTGTATTTTTCATCCTAAGATTGATTTGATCAACCAAAAATATCCTTATATTTTTCTACTCTTAACTTCTTTTATATAGGAAAACTTTAATAAAAAAAAATAATAAATAAATATAAATATTAAAAAAGCAATGCCGCCATATACAACACGATTATAATTTGCCGAAGAAAATTTCTTTTATACACTATATACACGAATATATTATTGTTGGTATATACAAACATACATACATAAATACAAACTATATAGATTATATGGCTTATGTATATTTATTATTTTGTAATAATATTTATGACAAAAAAAAATATATTATATGACATTTTGTATTTTATAAAAAAAAAAAAAGTATTACGGTGTCAAAATATTGTTATATAGATAAATGGAAAAAAATATAGTAGAGTTACAAGGTGAATTCCCAAATGTATATGATTTAAGTACAATTGTATGTATCGTAATATATAGCTGTAGAAATGAATTATATAGATATATATCTATGAAATTGTTATAAAGAAATATTCGACACTGTTATACAAATATAACTTTTAACAATATTAAGTGAACTATATGCTTATTAATATTAAAAATACAATTAGCATTTATTTCTAATTTCGTACAATGTTATAACAGTAGTGATTTCAATATCTAGGTTAGGTTAGGTTGTCGCGGCTCCCCGAAGGGTACACATAGGCTAACTAGGCCCGTTGTGGTACCACTGGATCTCTTCCCTTCCGCTCCTCATCTGAATCAGCCCGAAACCTTTAAAAATCGGGTCAAATTTCTAACGCTTAATCCGCCAAGTTCGTAGCGTGTCCGAAGAAGTAAGACCCAAGGAATCTCTGTTTGGAGTTGGCCAGTATCGAATATGAGCATAGAAGGTGGGTTACAGTTTCGTCCTCGTCACAGCAACTCCCACAAAGATCGTTTCCGGGGCGGCCCATTCTATTTGCATGTTCGCCGATCAGACAATGGCCCGTCAATACCACAGCACTGATATCCTCCATTCTGAGAGAGATCAGATCCCTTGTGCGACGTAAATCCAGCTTTGGACACAAATTCCATGTCGCGTTACACGTTGCTCCATTAGCAAATCTAAGGTTGGTGCGCTCCACTGCCGCGTTGCGCAGCAGCAGCAGCCCTAAGGTTCTTAGAGGCATGCCCAAGTTCTCCTTTTCAGGTGGAATTTCCAGAGTAGTTCCATGCCTTGCAAGCTCGTCCGCCTTGCAGTTACCCGGAACCCCACTATGTCCGGGGACCCAGGCCAAGTTTATTTCCAACTGTCCTGCCACCTCATTGAGAGACGACATGCAGTCCCGGACCGTTCTAGACGTGGAGACCTCAGAGCACAGCGCCCTTATCGCGGCCTGGCTGTCAGTGAAAATACTGACGCCACCAGCCGATACGACGTTGCACCCAAGCCAGCGCAGAGCCTCCTCAATTGCGGCCACCTCGGCCCGAAATACACTACAGTGATCCGGCAGACGGAAGGAGAGTTTAACATTTAATTGCTCAGAATGAACTCCCCCGCCCACTGCCATCGAGTTTGGATCCGTCCGTGTAAAAATGTACTGATCCGTCGTCAGTATCTCCCTCGTTCAGCCAGGCTTCCCTAAGCGGAATCGAGGCCCCAAAGTTCCTCGTGAATGAGAGCACCGAGGGCACATAATCAGTTGACCCCACAGCATGTCCATCTAATAGCAGCAGATGGAAGAGAATCTCGAAAGCCTGAGTAGGGGTGGAGCGTAATAGTCCACCAATACATACCATCGCCATTCTTTGAATCTTGCTTATCAGCCTGAGGCCACCCGCTGTGTGGAGCGCTGGCCACCACACCAGAACGCCATACATCAGGATCGGCCTCACCACTGCGGCGTATAGCCAATAAACTCTTGGTTTCAGGCCCCACCTCTTTCCGACGGCCTTCTTACATGAGTAAAGCGCAATAGTTTCCTTCCTTACTCTCTCCATAACGTTGGACTTGCAGTTCAACTTTGAATCAAGAACTAGACCCAGGAATCTAGCCTCCCTGCCAACGGAGCGCTCAATGCATGATCCCCCAAAGCTAACCCCGATGGTTCTACCTGAGAACATGTTGCCTATCAGAGCATTCAGAGAGCCATGAATCGAGAGCCCCAAAAGCGCCTGACTGATAGCCCACGACTCGGCATTGTTAAATGCGCCTTCAATATCCAGGAAGGCAGCCATCGTATACTCTCTGCAGTTTAGAGATTTTTCAATGTAGTGCATCAAAGAGTGGAGGGCCGTTTCCGTTGACCTCCCCTTACGATACGCATGTTGTGCCGGAGATCCTTGGGTTAAGGTTACTCCTTACGTATACGTCCATCAACTTTTCCAA